CAGGTATTAATGGACAGCTTCAACATGTATGATCGAAAGCATTTATCAAATGTGAAAAAGTGGCATGGTGGACGATCCAGGCCACCTCCTACTGGATTTGTAGCATTATTAAGATAGTTTTGTTTTTCTAAAATGCAATTACCTTTGTAGTTGTCTTTAGGCCATGGCTTGGGAGACTTTTGCTTTTTTATTTCAGATTAATATAAGGGTACATACATTTAGGTACCTTGTAGTAAAGTCAGAGTTGTAGTTGAGCCCTTCACCCAGGAGATATGCCATATACCCCTCCATTGTGCCCGTTAGGTGAGAGCTTGCTAAACCTCCTTCTTCCTTCCCCCACCTGAATTTAATTATACTTTTCTCTCATGGGGGCATGTAGTTGTTCATCTTCTGGTTTCATTGAGTACATTGAATACTTGCTTATCTATTCTTGGGATACTTTCATGTGCATCTAGGTAAATACGAAAGACGTAAAGCCTCCACCTTTCTCTATGGCTGAATGGTATTCCATGGTATGAATATACCGTAGTCATTTATCCATTAGTGAGGTGATGTGGTCCCTGCACTTTTTGCCTCCTTAACAAAAGAGGAAAGATAAAGGGAGCAACTATATTATTTTTTGTATGTCATTTAACTTGTGGGAGTTTTCATTTAACTCCTAGTGAATATATCTTACATACATTTTTGTCATGATAAAATGGGCTCATAAAAACAGAAGAAATTGCTTAGTAGCTGCTCTCATAGAAGGAAATATAGCTGGAAGCCAGGCACAGTGGTGTGTGTCTGTAGTCCAGGTACTTGGGAGGTTGAGATGGGAGGAATGCTTGAGGCAGGATTTGGAGGCTGCAGTGTACTGTGATCCAGTCTGTAGAGTAGCTACAGCACTCTAGCCTGGCAACATCGTGAGACCTTGTCTCTAAAAACAGAAATAGTGCAGCGGGATTTCACACCTTTGTTTTCCTTCCTTTAATGCTGCTATATAGTAGCTTTGGGGTCTTCTTTTTATCTCTTCTTCCTTCTTATTTCTCAGATCAGGTCTGAGATGGCTGAGATGTCGAGGGGTACACTGTGTGTTACCACCTTACCTCTCCACCTTAACCTCCTCAAAGGTGAATGATTACATG